TTAAAGGTGTGTGCTACCACACCTAGAAGTCACAGAGGTCAATCTCCCTCTGCCTCCCAAGTGTTGGGATTAAAGGCGTGTACTACCACACCCAAAAACTCTCTTCCTTTTTTTTTTTTGTTTTTTACTTTAAGAACTTCAACTTTTAGCCTGCACATATTTTTAACACACTGTAAATCATTTAAAAGTTTTCTTTTTTCTTTGAATCTTTCTTTTACTGTATATGTCCCTTTTTTGACCACATGAGTCTTTAATTTACCAAGCAATATCAGTAGGACTAAAGCCGTGGCTTTGACAGCTGGATCCAGCCCATTTCTTAGCTTTCCAGCCTCATGGCGGAGGTACCGGCTTTAGCCATATTTATCACCACAACTCTATGGCATTTCAAGGTCCCTGCCTGCAAGTGAGCTGCAACAGACAACACTCAAGTCCGCTCTCTGTAGTCGGCCCTCCTGCCTCAAACAGTCAGAGTTTGCCCTGGCAGGACAACCCAGAAAGCAGGCATTTTTAATCAACGCAGCTTTTTTCCTGCTATGGCTGAAAACAAACAAGCATTCAGTCAGCTTCTATCAATACCATTTAAGTGTTTCGTGGCAGGACCTCTTAAGAGCTGCAGGGTTTTGCAGCTAAAGCTGAGTCAGGAACCTTCTCTTAGATGAGAGTGCTTGCTTGCCTCTAGCAAGCAGAGCAGACCCAAGAAATTGTTGCTACCAAGAAAATATGCTTTACTCTTTCCCAAGCTTTCTCAGGCTTTATGTGGGGTTCAGTCACCCTCTTTGTATAAATGCTAATATGAATAATTACCATCTATAAATCTATCTATGTATGTCCTTTGCTAAATCAGAAAAATGCTCAGTTCATAGAGTCCTTGTGTGACAGTTTTAGATGTCTGGGTTTAATCCCCAGTACTGCATACATTTGATGTTGTGACTCAAGTCTCGGACTTCAGCATTCAGGGGTAAGAGTATCGGGATTTTAAGAAATTCTGATAATGCAATGAGCTTTGGGTCAGCCTGAACTATATCAGACAATATCTCATAAAAGGAAGGAAAAATTCTTCTGGAGTATGTGGTGAACATGATCAAATATTTTTATGCATGTAATAATCTTCAATAAATAATGAAAACATATTTACTATAAAGCTCCCACATCAGGTGCATGTACTAAATATTTCGTTTTATCCAATTCTATGGAGATATTTCTATCCCAGCCCCTGCTTCCTTTTCACCCTTGTGAGTTCTCATGCCAAGCATATCACATGGCTATACTGTCTCCTTCCTATTGATTTTTTGGGCAGCTGTTGTTCCTGACCTGATTTAAGTGTTGGATCATGCCATTCGAACCAGTTAGAGTTTTGCTGAGTGCTGTGAGCTCACAGCTCCCTCCCACAGGCATCATTGTCAGCTAAAAGAGGTGCTGCCCTCTGCTGGATATGTGCGGCTGTGGATCAGGGTAAAGTATGTTCTTAGAATACTGGTCTCTCCCTACATCGGAGCACTGGGCTGAGCTCCCAAGGTCCAGTTGAAGAACAGAAGGAGGAAGAATATCAGCAAGGAAGTCAGGACCGCGAGGAGTTGGTCCACCCACTGAGACACTGTGCCTGAGCTAATGTTAGTTCACCAAAGCCGGCTGGACTGGGACTGAACAAGCATGGGATCAAACTGGACTCTCTCGATGTGGCTGACAATGGGGGCTGACTGAGAAGCAATGATAATGGCACTGGGATTTGTTTCTACTGCATGTACTGGCTTTTTGGGATCCTAGTCTGTTTGAATGCACACCTCTTAGGCCTGGAAGGAGGAGGGAGGGCCTTGGACTTCCCACAGGGCAGGGTACCCTGCCCTCTCT